GTCTTGTTTCTACTTTCTTCCTGCCCTAAATCCTGGTGCATGCTTCTCTTCCTTACTATTAAGTGTCCTTTTTGGCATTTTTTTTTTCCCCAGAATAGGGCAGTTTTTACTGCATTAAAAACCTGCTCAGGTGGATATCCTTTATCCCCAGGAATTTTCTTAATGGCATCTGGAAACTCCTGTCTTTTGGTTGGCAGAAGTGTTTCTCCTGCTGTCTTGACAATGTTTAAGCCAGACCTTTTTCTAAAATTACCAAGCATCTTTTATAAGCATTAAATTCTCCATGTTCTTATTCCTTATGTTCATATAATAATTTCACTTTCTCCTGAATCATGTTAGAATCTATAGGTATACCTTTCTTAAAGCAATCCTGCACCCACATAAAAGTTATTTTCAGTACAAGATAAAAAGGTATTTCCTGAGAAGTGCAAGATTTTCACACCTGCTGATGTAACTGCAATAATAGCTTTGTGAATTTCCTTTTATTTTTTCATAATGGTCCTTACATTGGGTTCATTTATCTTGAAATAGTGGGCATCCACAGCTGCAAACCTCAATCTATGGTACATATCAAGCAATTTAACTTTGTCTTATAATGTCATGACTTTTCTCCAGTTCTTAGGAACACTTCCAGCATACCTGATGGCACTTTGTATGGGTCCCATGGTGTAATTCAGGATTTGCAGTGTTACACAAAATAATATGAAAAAATATGTGAGAATTTTGAGAGAGAACTTTTACTGTGATGCATGATTTATTGGGGAGACCTGCCCACCTAGCGATGATTAGTATCACATAGCATTTTAAGCAGATACTTCTAACACTTGAGCTCACTGCAATAGCTATAGGAGATGACTATGATATTATTATAGTGGTACAGTATTACTACAGTTAATTTTATGCAGTTATGATTTAATACTGCATATTTACATTTGTTTATATTTCTCTCAGCTGTGAATGCTGCCATATTTGGTCTATATGTGCATAAGTATTGATAAATTTTAACTTTTTATAATTCGTGTATTTTTTTTATCATAGTAAATGATGAAATCGTCTCATATCTATATGTATTTTATACATTCATGAGATGCCTAACTTAATTTTTCTTCAGTGTTTCTTGGCTTCATGATTAGTTTACAGGTTTCTATCATTATCACTCATCCACTGATAGACACTTATATATGTGTCTGTATCTTATTCCCATTCTTTTCATTTCATATTTTACCACTAAGTATGCTGCTCACAAGGGTTTGCTTATATCTTTATTGGGTCAAGGAAATTTTCTGTTATTCCTAATTTTCCAAAAGGTTCCATTATATATAACCTAGGGTTATAATCTACCAAATGCTTTTTCTACATCTATTACAATGATAATATTGTACTGTATTCACATATATTAAACCAAACCTACATTTCTGGGTTAAACCTCATTTGACCACTGATTATTAACCTTTTTACATATCATTGAATTGGATATAACGTTTTTCATTAAAAATTTTTTTGTTTTTGGTCTCAAGGTTTTCTGTTTGTAACTTTTTTTAAAATGCTTTAGTCATCAAGGTTGTAGAGGCTTCATAAAATGAGTTGGAAAATATTTACTCTTTCTCTTTTTATTTAATTTTTTGGATTGGAGAGAATTGGTATTATTTTGTCCTTAAATGTTAGATAGAATATATGAATGAAGCCATTGGGTTGGGATTTTGTATGTGTGTGGGAGTTAGAGGGACTGAGAATCATGAGTTAAATTTCCTTCAATGATAAGTATTGTATTTCTCCTTGCATTACTTTTGGTAATTTCTGACCAGATTTTTAAATTTATGTTGTCAAGTTTATTTACAATATCCTCTCACTATCCTTTAAGGTCTATAAGATCTGTGTATCTTCTTACATTTCTAATGTTGATCATTTATGTTTCCTCCATTTTTTCTTGCTCAATCTTCTAAATTGTTTATTGGTTTTATTAACTTTTTAAGAACTCTGGCTTTGTTCATTTTTTCTGTTGGTTTGTCTTTTTTAAAATTGTTGATTTTCATTGTTTTATTATGAATTTTCTATACTTGCATTGTGTTTCATTGTAAGTATAGAAAATTTTTAGACGGAAGTGGAAATCATTGATTTTTAAATATGAGCATTTAAAGAAGTACATATTCTCTAAGGATTTAGTTACATGTCACAAATTTTGATATGATTGTTTCCTTCATTATTTAGTTTGAGGTATTTTCTAACTTGTGAATTCTTTTTTGACCCTTAGGTTATTTAGTAGTGTGATTTAATTTCCCAAATATATGAGAATTTTCTAGGTTTCTTTTTGTTATTGCTTTATAACTTAATTCCAGTTGATGGAATAACATATTCTGTTTGATTTCACCCTAAGAAATATTGGGCCATCACATATGGTCTGGCTTGGTGAATGGTCCATCTGCAGTTAAGTAAAATATGTATTTTGCTGCTGTTGGATGAAGGATCTATAAATGTCAGTTGATAGTATTCACCTCTTCAACATTCTTACTGATTGTTTTCTGTTGTATCAATTTCTGAGCAAGGAACCTTGAAGATCTACCTATTTGTGGATTTCTTTATATTTCCCTTTAATACTGTCAAAATTTGCTATATCTATTTGGAAGCTTATTAGATCCATATACAGTTTAAGTTGTTTTGTCTTCTTGAGTGAGTGACACTTTCATAATTTTTGAATGTCTATATTTTTCAGAGAGGCAAACCAAGAGACTGACTCTTATAAAGAAAGAACTAATGGTTTCCAGAGGGGATCTGGGTGGGGGGGATGGGTTAAGTAGGTGATGAGGATTAAGGAAGGAACTTGTGATGAGCATTGGGTATTGTACGGAAGTGTTGAATCACTATATTGTACACCTGAAACTAATATTGCAATGTATATTAACTGGAACTTAAATAAAAACTTTTTTTAAAAAAGCGTTGACATATAATAAACTATACAGAGAACAACAAGAAATGCCTGTCTTGGGATCCCTGGGTGGCGCAGTGGTTTGGCGCCTGCCTTTGGCCCAGGGCGCGATCCTAGAGACCCGGGATCGAATCCCACGTCGGGCTCCCGGTACATGGAGCCTGCTTCTCCCTCTGCCTATGTCTCTGCCTCTCTCTCTCTCTCCCTCTGTGACTATCATAAATAAATAAAAAATTAAAAAAAAAAAAAAAAAGAAATGCCTGTCTTTTTCCCTTCCTCTTGAATGCTACTTTATCTGATAATAGTGTAGCCATGCTCTTTCTTACATTTAAATGTATGTGTAATACATTCCACCCTTTTCCTCTCAGCTTGTTTGTGTCCTTATGTTCAAAGTATGTTTCTTGTAGACCTCATATGGTTGTGTCTAGCTATGGTTGTGTCTGACATTCTCTGTTCCAGGGTAAATTCTAGCTGGACTAAATATTTAAATGTAAAAATCACACATTACAGCAGTAGAAGAAACTATGGGCGAAGTTTAAAATAATGCTGGGGCAAGAGAAAGTCTTTCCAACTATAACACAGAACCCAGAATCCTAAAAGAAAAGATAAATTTGTGTGAAAAGTTTTTAATTACAAACCATGAGCAGTCAAAGGCAAATGACAAGCAAGGGGGGAAATATTTGCAGTTTATATCATTGCTGTAGGACTTTCTTCCTTACTGCTGTGGTGTTCCTACAAATCAATAAGAAAATAAAAAACTTAACTGAATAATGGGGGGAAAGCCTGGTGGTTCAGTGAGTTAAGCATCTATCTGCCTTCTGCTCAGGTCATGATCCTAGGGGCCTCTCCTGTTGCCCATCGCCCCATTTGTGCTTTCTCTCTCTCAAAAAAAATAAAATAAAATCTTAAAAAAAAAAAAGAAAAATGGGAAAAGAATAGGATAAGATAGTTCATTAAAAAAAAGAAATAGAAACATCTTTTGAATATGTAGATAAATTCTTGATCTTTCTCAAAACAGAATAAACACATTCTAATAGTAATTTTTACCTATCACAGGAAAGATCAGCAAGTTTGATAACAGTCTTTGGGCAAGGGCACTGGAAACATTCATTCTTACACATTGTTGTTGGTGTAGATTAACATAATTTTTATGCTTTAACCATCAACTCCTCGAATTTATCCTACAAACATACTGAGCATGTACAAAATTTGCTTTGTACACTTTTATTCATTTCAGCCTTGTTTATAGTTTTAAATATTGGCGACCATACAAATATATCTCCCTGGGTACTGATTAAACAAATTATGGTACCTAGTACTAAAAGGCAGAATATTCTACAACTTTTAAAATAGTGAAGAAACTGTTCTTTATGTACTGGTATGGGACAGTCTCCAAGATACAAAATTAAGTGAAAAGCAAAAGATATGACACTGAATAGCCTGCTACTATTTGTATAAAAAATAATGTATAATAAGTGTTTGCACGTATTTCTAAAAAGATGTCAAGAAATAGGTGATGTGAATTAAAACTCTTCTAGAGAGGACAAGTGGTTGGACTGGGACAAAAAGGAGGGAAATTCTTTTACTATATACCATTTTGTATCTTCTGAATTTTGAACTATTATGTATTCAAAACAATGAAAAATGTTTCCAAAATTGTAACAAGGTAAAACTATCTTGTTAAAATATCTAGCCTGTTCTAAACTGTCACTAAAATCTGAAATTAAGATCTATTTTGTCTCCCTTCTACTTCCATTTGAAGTTTGCCTTGTTTCTATTGACAGTAAAAACAAAATGAAATAGTTGAGCCCTTTGTACTAAGTAACTACTTACTGAGTCCCATCTCCACCTCACTGTTTTAAACTCCAACTAGAGGGTAGATAGTCTTAAGAAATATTTTTTAAATTCTCATATCTTTCAAACACATGCTTGACAATGTGTGTCTTTAAATGTTTGCATATATGTGACACAAGAAAGAGGTGGTGGGAAAACAGTTTTAGTGAAATACAATTTGTAAGAATTTGAGGAAATGACCAAAAACCTGGAAATGTGATGATAGTCTTATTTTCTCTTTTAGATATTAAGCACCGTCGAATACCAATCTTATTCTTTGCAAATAAAATGGATCTTAGAGATGCAGTGACATCTGTAAGAGTGTCTCAGCTGCTGTGTTTAGAGAACATCAAAGATAAACCATGGCATATTTGGTAAAGTTTTATATTTACTTCTCATTATGTCATTCTGAAAAAAAATCTCTGAGCTTGTGTTCTTTGCTAAGCTCACTGTGTAAGTCACCTAACTTGATAGGATGTAAGTTAAGGATTTAATTGTATACAATTGTAGCAGTGCAGGTATTCATGAATAATTATTGCTAAAACTTTTTACAATCTCGGGGTACCTGCCGTGGCTCAGTCAGAGCATGTAGCTCTTGATCTTGGAGTCCTCAGTTTCAGCCCCACATTGGATGTAGGGATTACTTAAATAAATAAATCTTAAAACAACAACAACAAAATACCTTTTCAAATCTTTCTGAGGATGTAAAATATAAACAACTCTTTAAAAGGAAATTTTAACCCATTTACTCAGTTTCAATCACACTGATTTCCTTCTGCACATTGAATCAGCCAACCACAATCCCATGTCAGAACTCCCTTTGTCTGAATCAATCTCCAAAATAATTTTCCTGGCTTGCTATTATACTTCCTTCAGGAGAGACCTCTCATGATAACCCTCCAAAATAATGTTATATCTTATCCCCTATGTCTCATTTTTTTTCCCTTCATATTTTGCTGTATATTTCTATTGCCATGCCTTCTTTGGGTTTTGTTTGTTTTATAGTATATCTTCCTATACTAGTGCATAAGCAACATGAGAGCTGGAATTTTATCAGTTTTGTTTACTCTGTAACCCCTAAAATAACAATAGTACCAGGTACTTAGTATGTGCACAACAAATATTGGTTTATTTGAGTATATAGAAATATAAATATTAATTTTATTTCGATATGCTAATAAAATCAGACTCTTCAGCAATTAGTATCTGAAATTATACATTGTTTATTTGGAAAGCAACTTCTTATGGATATATTTAACTCTGGTGTGCCTTTATGCAAAACATTCCAATAAGGATAACCAGAAATTATATATTAGATAGTATTTTAGTGTCTGCCTTATATTAATTTGAGCTTCCTTCTATCCACTTACTAACTTCCCTTTGCTGCAAGATGTCCTCTTGTCAATTTTCCCATTTTTCAAAGGGAAAGTCGTAACACAGAAGCATAGAAATGTACCATGTCTAGAAAGAGAAACAATATGAAACAAGGAGATACTACAGCTCAGTAAAGAACTTGTAGAGCTGATTTTGGTGCTGAAAAAGAAATCTCCTAGAAGAAAGCTTGAAAAAGCCCCGAAAGGCTTCCGTGCTCAGGGCCACCACCACTTCTACCCAGGATTGAAACACTGCATATCTTGAGTAAAACTTTCCTTACTTTGCAATCAGAAGAAGAGTCAATTTTACTGTCTCTTGACTTAGAATTTGAGGTTCTATGATATTTGGTCAGTAAAGAAAGGAGGGATTTTAGGTAGAGAAGTATCTTAAGATAGAACCTTTGTATTTCTCTAAATTATACCTAAATTAATAATATCTAAACCAGAATAATTTTAATTTTTGCACTGTATTAAGCATTGTGAATTTTGATAGAAAGTACAACATTAAGAAATATGGGCCTAAAAAAAATATATGGGCCTAATTAATAAAAGATGCAGTCCTACTCTTAATTTTGAAATATAAATTAATTTTGCAAGTGGAAAAAATCTCTTTCTACTTAAAATAATCAACTGAATTTTAACAGATTTCTTTATTCAACTGTGATATCTAAATACTTCTCTAGGTGAGAGAAAAGGTAATGTTCTGATGCTATAAGGACGTAGAGTATTATATTGCCAGGTTCTGTATTTTCTGAATAACTTATAGAAGAATGCCAAGTATTTCTTTGAAAGTTGTCTATAATTTTGATTCAATTCAAAGAATACCTCACTAAGAACTAATAATGTTTGTTAAACTTGTTTTTTTTTATTTTTTGCTAAGTTCATTAAAGCATGTATAACATTGAAAATACGTGGGGCACCTGGGTGGCTCAGTCAGTTTAAGCATCTGCCTTCAGCTTGGGTCATGATCCGAGAGTCCTGGGATCCACATCAGGCTCCCTGCTCAGAGAGGGGACTTTGCTTCTCCCTCTCCCTCTGCTGGCTCCCCCTGCTTGTGCTCTTTCTCTCTTTGTGTGTCAAATAATAAAATCTTTGAAAAAAGATTTTTAAATACACTTTTCTGGGCAGCCCAGGTGGCTCAGCGGTTTAGCGCCACCTTCAGTCCAGGGCGTGATCTTGGGGACCCAGGATCGAGTCCCATGTTGGGCTGTCTGCATGGATCCTGCTTCTCCCTCTGCCTTTCTCTCTCTGTCTCTCATGAATAAATAAATAAAATCTTTAAAAATAAAAAATAAATAAATAAATAAATAGATGCACCATGATACAGAGATAAAATATGCTATCTCTCTTGCCTTAAGTATAAGTAAATTTAGCAGCAGATAGAGAAAAGATTATAGAGAAATGCAGCCTGGAAAATGTTTGTGGTTTACTTTTACTCATTGTACTAAACATACAGCCAACGCTGATTTTTAGGGTCTGATTTTAATAATGTTCTTTTAAAAAAGTTCTTTGACAGAGTTCCATATACAATATGTATATGTATTTACTTATTTACCCTCTTGTGAGGGCAACAGATAACAAAATAGGTAAATAGATGTTAAAATACCAGCTGGCAGGATGAAGAAAAGTAAAGTAGGACAAGAAGAGAGAGAATAATGATAGGTGTTCTGTGAAATCTAATTATTATTAGGGAGAAATTCACACAAAAGTTTTGAGAAATAGCTTTCCAGACAGAGAGGCCTGCCAAGTTAAAAAGCTCTTAGATGAGAATGTGCCTGGTTTGTGCCCGGAAAAGCAAGAAGTCCAAGCTGGCTTGAATAGGGGGATTTGGAGGGAAATTGTAGGATATGAGGCTATTGAGAAATAGCCAGGGACCATATCACATTGGTTCTGGTAGGACATGGTTAAAAAGACTCTGGCTTTTATTCTAGTTACAGGTCTGATGATATATTCAAAAGGAAAGATAGAACATAAACATTCAGGACCTATTAGGAAAAAAATGGAAGGTTTTTAGTATGGTACTGATGCCCCCAGTAAAGGGGATGCCCCCAGTAATTGGATTACTTGTTTGGGACTATAAGTGTGTAATAAAAATCAAGACATTGATCTTTCTTGATTTAAGCATTTCAGTTACTGATGTTTTGCTACTGATATGGATAATCTGTAATATGCTTTGGATAATTATGTATCATATGCTGTTGGTTTCTATTTTAAAATAATTTTATGATAAAGTCATATTTGTAATCTAATAAGTAATTCTTTGGAAGTAATTTCTGTTTTGATTAGAATCAAATTATTTTAGATAATTAGGTACATTTTTAAATCATGCACAGCACACTTAAAAGGAACTCTAATCATTCAGAAAATCTGTTTATTTATACTAGTTACTATCAGTCTATATCTGAAAGATTATCTGATACTATCAAAATCATCTGCATTTTATTATTTTAGTTTCTTTAGCATTATCTTATAGATGCTAAAACTGAAGACAGTTAAATAACCTCTAGTTTCCTGAAGCCCGTGGATATGAGTATGATTGAAATCTGAGATTTTTTTTTTATTGTACCAGTTTACCAAAGTTATAATTACAGGTTTATACCTTATGGATATCAAATTCCATTTCAAATAAAGTCACTCCATCATGTGGCTAAATTACAACCTAAGACAACCATTTCTAATAAATAAATGTTATTGAGTCACTGGGGCTGGACAAAGTAGAATAACTTTTTAGTGATAACACTTTTCCAAATGTCTGTTATAAATCATGAATAAATTTCTCATGTCTCCTTTCTGAGCACTCAGACTTTTATTTCCTATGTATATTCAGTTTCAGGGCTTAACCAGTTTTACTCAGATATATGTTACTAGACTATTAATTTGCCATCTAGCAAAATTGTAATTATTTATTTGTATGGTTCTATGAAGTAATGAAATGGATATGTTTCTTATGGATTTTATTTCAGTGCTAGTGATGCCATAAAAGGAGAAGGATTGCAAGAAGGTGTAGACTGGCTTCAAGGTACATCACAAAATACTATGCATCTGCAGTCTTTATTTCCATTCCGTTCACATTTTTCTTTCCCTTTTTGCATTTCATTTTTATTATATCATTGCCTCTCTCCCTCTTGTTTCCATTTATTTCTGCTGTCAGAAAAAACAATCCAGTAAGTATCTAATACCTTGCTACCTTTACTTCTATTACATTTTTCTGATGGGTTTATTTAAATAAAGTATTTGCATCTTTATAATCAATACACATGACAACTCTAGAAAATAATTTTATGACAACAAATTTCTGTCAGATCTAGTAAATAGAAGCACATTTGAAGTTTGGAATAATTTCAGGGCTTCCTGTCAATAATTAAAAATAAGTTTGCTTGGCATATATCTTTTAAGAATCATGTTAAACTCTATGGCTCCATTTATACATGTTTACACAACTTTTAATACTCATTTAGTATTATAAATACTGGTATTGATGTTTTGTATATTTCAGTTTTGTTACTCATCAAAATAGTTATCATTAGTTGGTACAGGCTTATTATATCAAGGAATAAATTAAGGAATATCCTTTCTTCTAAGATTCCATTGTTTACTGACCGTAGGAATGGCCTGAAGCAGTGACCTACACAGCAATAGACGTGAATGAAACCAAGTTCTGTAGGTCCTTTTTATTACAGGACCCTGAGAGTCAGGCTGAAAAATGTCCATTTGTGAGCAGAACTGGGGACTATTCCTATCAGGAATCTGTCTGCCCTGAACTAGGGTAATTAACAAAATATTATTAATTCTAGCTGTAATCTTACAGCTATGGATTTATTTTTTTTCTCTACTAACCCTTTGTCAGTTATGTGTAATTTTGTTTTATGCATATCCTGTTCAATCTAAAAATAGCCTGCTTGCCCATACATAAAGAGACTTGATACTTCGTTGGTTCAGAATATTAAATCTCCACCTGATAAATATTTTAATGTGTTATTAGTAAAATATGGTATTTTAATAAACTGCACAGACTGTTGTATTTCTTTTGTTTTTGTGTAGACATCATGACATTTACCATTAAACTGCAAAAAATATTATAGTCATATTTTTCAATTAAGTAAAACATAATTGAGAACCTCTAATAGTTCTCAGAAGAACTGTTGGAATTTTTCTGAACTTACATAGTTCTTAGATTGTGATAAAGAAGTGGTTTACACTTCTGATGATTTAATGGGACTTATTTCCACATAAAACAGATTAAGGAGCAGTGTTCTACAGAAGACCCCGGAAGCATATGTTAAGCCTTGATTTCTTATTTTACCAGTGCTTATTGTTCACAGTGGAGACACTGCATGAATAGAAACCCTACTATTGCTCATAAAAGCATAGTACCTATGAAAATAGGTTGACAAATTGTATTTCTCCCTTCCTTTGTTGGGTATATTTTGTGTGTAATAATGAGGCCACTAGGTGTCAGTAACGATCCAACATCACAGTGCCACTTGCCAACTCTGGTCTTCTTACCTAATTTTTGTCTTTGATCTTTCTGATTCATTATCTTTGTATCTTCCTTTTTTGTAAGGAGGATACACTATTAGAAATGTTTTTGTGCCGTTGCATTATCATGTTATTTTATGTAACCTTTAGAGCAGTTTTCTATGACCGGTTTCCCTATTTAAATAGAGAACACAATAATAATAAGCATTTGAGATTTTGAGTCTAGCAGATTTATTCTACACTTATTAACTAATTATTAACAATTATCTGTTTCTTATGAAAATAATTTTCATCATCTGTACAATTAAATGTCAAAAATTGTGCAGATTAAATAAACACTGTTAAAGTGCCTAGTATAAGAAAAAAAAAAGCCCCAATAAGTGTCAAATTTACCATCTTACATAACTGCTCTCTATTTAGGAAAGGAGGAAACTTAGTACACAGATTAAAAAGTGTTATTAGCTTGATTTTGAATAAGAAATCCTTTCTTCATCTTTCCTATGTAATAGTAAATTTACATTTTAATTCTCCAGACTATCTCTCTGGATTTAAAAAGAGGTAAAAAAACCTATTTTGCAAATTAGGTAGCAGTAAATAAGGAGACTAGTCCATGCCTATAACTATTAACTTATTACCCAGAGGTTTTTTATGTAAATTTAACTGTGAAAGATATTCTAAATGTATCTCTTCATTTTGCTTCCAGAATTCTGAAATTTCCTAGAATGCTAAACAACAAAGCTTCTGGTTCATTTTGCACCAATTTACTCTTACTATTTTAAGGTTGAAAAATTTTGAGTAAAATGTTAAATGACATTTTTTTGCCATGATTCCATTCTCTTTTGGAAGGATTCTCAATAATTACCTATATATTATAACCCAAAGATAAGAACTCCTGAGTAGACTTTGAAATATTTTTTTAAAGTCACCAAAGAAGCCATTGCAGAGGTGTAAGTTGTTTTCCAAGTCTGAAACTTTCAAATTGGATGTTTATAAAAAGAAATCTTTCCACGTGACTAATGAAACGTACTCATTTTATCACTTTCTCTATATGGGAAAAGTTAATAATCCTCCCAAAATTTTAATATAAGGCTTCTATAAACTACGTATGTGGGTATTCTAATGAAAGATAGAGGACTGAACACTTAATTCCATCCCCTTGTCGAATTTCACTAAGAGGACTTTTATTTAAAGACATTATCCCACAAGGGAAAAAAAATAGTAGTGACAAAAATGACAACCAAATTTAGAAGCTGAATGTCTGATGAATGTTGAATGACTTAAGAGATCTGAGAAAGGTGAATTCTGAACTAGCACTGAGGAAAGCTGGAAAGCATCCCACTTTATGTTGCAGATCCCCTCGAAGGCTCGGATATTGATGAAAAGTATAAAGAAGGATGAAGTGGGCCTGAAAAGAGAAGATAGTTATACTTTCTTGACCCCCCCCCAAAAGATTGAAGGTTCATTCTTGCAGAAAATCAGAGTATCTCTGGACCGGGGAACACCCAAGCACAGCTGTGTGGCAGTGCTGGTCTGAAAATGAGAAGTAACTGAAAGTTTTTATACCAAATAGTGTACTCCTCTTCTGCCTTCTACTTCTCCCAGAAGACACTGGCAGTAGGCAAGATATAGAAAGTAATCTTAGAGGAACCAGACCAGTGAGAGAAAAGACCTAAAGGTATTAACATCAAAGATTCCCAAGAAGATGGTGTAGCTGTCTACACTAGAATAAAGACCACATTTGACAAGCCTCACACACATACTGAAATTTCAGTCAGCTTTATAGTGTTCATTCATACTTATGAAAAGATGGCAAAGGCATTTGAGGATCAAAACATTATAAATTATGGAACATTAACAAACCAAAAGAGCGGGTTAGAGGAAGTAGAATTCATTTAGGGAGAACATTTCAAAAAACTGTTAGAGTATCCTCAAAGAGATAAGATTACTTTCATGAATATGACCAGGCATACTACTTGTAAAGGACCAAAGGAAAAAAAAGTTCATAGAAAATAATGGAACAGATGAAATGGAAAATTCAATAAAAAGAAGATAAAATAGAAGCATTCACTCAGAAAGTAGAGCAAAAAGATAAAATTGGAAAGAAAAGAAAGTAGGAGGTCCAATATCCAAATAATAGGAATTTTAGAATGGGCAAAGAGAGAAAATAGAGGGGAGAAATTCTTCAAATAAATCAGTAAACAGTATTTTCCAGAACTGAAAGATGAGTTTTTAGTTGAAAGGTCTCTTGAAAGCCCAGTACAGCAAATGAAAATATTCCCACACCAAGGGTCACCGTTACTTAATTTAAACATTTAAGACAATGGAAGATTCTACAAGCTTTCTGGGAAGAAAATAAGTTTCATGTAAAGGATAAGGAAGTAAAAATAGCATCAGACTTGTAGACATCAACATTCGGAACCTATAAGATACTGGTCATTGCCTGGAAAAGTCCAAGGAGAAAACAATGGAATTATATGCTCAGGCAGTATCAGTGTATTTTGACTATAGATTAAAGACATCTTCATCTATGTAACAGTCTCAAGAATGTACTTTCTATACCTTCTACTGAGGTAGCCATTGAGAGGTATACTCTTCAAAGACAAGATAATAAGCCAAGAAGATAAAATAATAGACCATGAAACAGGAAAACCAGTATAAGAGCATGTGGGAAGGATCCTAAGGACGATAATGAAAGATAATGAGTTCCTAGCATGATAATGAAAGATCTCATATGAAGATAGCTGGGCAAGCATAGGGAACAGCTGGTCAGATTAGAGAGTTTTGGAAGACTCTAAGGGAGAGTTCTTCAGGAAAGTGAAATTCAAAGGCTGTGTAATGTGCTTCATAATAATAAAAGTTTTCCCAGTGTGGGAGTACTGAGATTGAATTAGTGTTAAGTACCTAAAATAATAATAATAAGCAGACAGGCAGGGTTGGAGAATGAGGCACAATTATTAAAAAGGGGAAAACAAAATGCAGAGGAGAGGGATACAACCGATCTCTGTGAATAGCATGTATGCAGTCATCATATCGATGACAAGATTACTATGGTAGAAGAATGAGAGCGCTGGAAGCATAATGGGGGTGTCCGGGCAGCAGCGAAGGAACTAATAATTCAAAAAGTAATAATAAAAGTGTATTATTTAGAGATACAGAGGTAAATCTCCTAAGAGAGGTTAGAAGTGGTTGCCTCTGAAAGATTAAAGAAGATGAGACGAGGGCCTGCTAGTAGACTAGTTGACTTAACTTTGTGCATGTACCATGATAAAAACAAAAACTACAGTGTGTTTGTGCTTTAAACAAAAACAGGTATGTGCATAGGCGTCTACTGTGTTTTTATAGATTTATCATGGATTACTTTAGAAAATGGATTATGAAAAAAAAAAAAGAAAATGGATTTTGTCTGTGGAGACTGATAGTTTTTTGTTCGTTTTTTGTTATCAGATCAGATCCAGGCTGTGAAGACATGAAAAGATAGTATTTGGAAACTTCAACAATTTTCAATTCAAGGAATGTATCTTAGGGCAAACTGAATACTTCAAATTTTTTAAAAGATGTTTGTGCATCTAAGAATACTTAATAATCTTCTGCTTGCATTTATGGACTCTGAATGAGCTTTTTAAGAACATAGGACTTCAGGTATGCTAATGTGACCATTAATTATATTAGAACTAAATATTTCCTCAGAAGGGCTCCTTCCCCAGAATTATCAACTTCTCGGTAGAAGTCTACATTTGATTGTAATTAGAATATTTAAAGTCAGAGTTATAAGCCATCTCAATATCGCATCATGATTTCTAATACCTTTTACTGTATTTTATTTTTTAAATTATCTTCTAAAATTTAGTTAATGGTATGACTTTGCAGTATGATTGTGCTTGGAAAAAGAACTTTAAATATTTATAAGGGACCATGGATAATATATATACATAAAATTTTTACTATGTGTGATTATCAATAAAACATGCAGTGTACCAACTAGTGTACTTTGTTTACACTGAAAAGAATAATGCTATGTCAACGTAATATTTAGTGTTTTACAGTCAAGCATTTGTAAATTATCTGAGACCAAGTTAAGCTGAATTTATTTATCCAGTGAATGTGTATTAAAACTCTCTGTACCTGTACTACTCTGGCATTGTCCTAGTCAATGGTGATACAAGGTAAATAAGATCTATTCTTTATCCTTAGAGAACTTAAAATGTAATGAGGGTTAATTTGAGAACCTTTTCATACATAGCATCTAATTTTATTTCATTGGCTAAATGATTATCTTGCATTTTAAAATTAAGAGGTATAAAAATGAATTAATGTGATTCTTCAATAATTATTTTAACTGACTTCTTGTTTCTTTCTTTAAAATGTCTCCAATTACTATAGCACTTTGTTAAAATAGATTGTGACTCACCAAAATATGTTTTCCCTGAGCATAAATTGCTACAAAAATGTCCTTTAGAATTTTAGACACATCTCAGGCATCTACTCTGTGCAAATTGTATTAGTTCTCAATCCCTGGGTGGCGCAGCGGTTTAGCGCCTGCCTTTGGCCCAGGGCGCGATACTGGAGACCCGGATCGAATCCCACGTCGGGCTCCCGGTGCATGGAGCCTGCTTCTCCCTCTGCCTGTGTCTCTGCCTCTCTCTCTCTCTCTCTCTCTCTCTCTCTCTCTCTCTGACTATCATAAATAAATAAAAATTAAAAAAAAACTTAATTAGAGGCCACTTTTAATTGTGAACTCTGAATAGAAGATTTCATTTTAAATTAACCACTAGAAAAGAGTATACAGAGCAATGGTGTCAATCCTGAAAAACATTGCATATAAAGAACAACTGTAATGTACAATATATAACGTTTTAAATGTCCTTAGCTGTGAAAATGATAAAAACAGGAAGCAAAGGACACCTGGGTGACTCAGTCGGTTGAGCATATGCCTTTGGCTTGGGTCATAGTCCTGGGATCCTGGGATGGAGGCCTGCATCAGGCTCCCTGCTTCTCCCTCTCCTCCCTACTCATGCTCTCTCACTATGTCTCTCTCTCAAATAAATAAACTATTTTAAAAAATTTTAAAAACAGGAGGCAAAAGATAAGTGAGTAATAGGGGTGTGTTATGGTAACTGTGGTACTGGTACATGTCCTAGAGATTTGAATAAAATCATTTTAAAACTACAGTAAAATTCTATAAATCAGTTTCTCTCAGTCCAGGAATCCCAATGGTTTAGAATTGGGGAATTAAAAGTTATCCAGAATATCTTAATAGTCCAACATTTTATTTTAGCTAGCTTGCAAGCCTCTCATAAATTGTTTCGATGAGGGGTCCACCTGGGTGGCTCAGTTGTTGAGCATCTGCCTTTGGCTCAGGTCATGATCCCGGGGTCCTGGGATCGAGTCCCACATCGGGCTCCTTACATGGAGCCTGCTTCTCCCTCTGCCTATGTCTCTGCCTCTCTGTGTGTCTCTCATGAATGAATAACTTAGATAGAAAAAAATTGTTTTGGTGAGGATACAAAGTGAGATTCTTATTAGGGTTGCCTCGAATATAAAAAGGACATAAAAACACTGAATGTAGTTTAACAAAATACTTATATGCTGTAGTTTAGGAAGATAGGATAGTTTAGGAGGATGGAGAAAGGGTATATTAGAATTCAAATCTGCATCTACCATCATCATCATCATAATAGCTGTCCCTATATGAACACTGTATTTTGAGCTAGATATTTTTACACGTACTAGATTTTGCATTATTCAATTCTCACATTAACCTTGTGTGATAAAGGTAGGTTTTATTATTTGTTTTATAGACAAGGAAACAGAGACCTAAAAAAGTCATTTGCAGAATGTCACTGCTAAATGCTGGTGCTGGGGGATCCCTGGGTGGCGCAGCGGTTTGGCGCCTGCCTTTGGCCCAGGGCGCGATCCTGGAGACCCGGGATCGAATCCTACGTCGGGCTCCCGGTGCATGGAGCCTGCTTCTCCCTCTGCCTGTGTCTCTGCCTCTCTCTCTGTGTGTGTGTGACTATCATAAATAAATAATTTAAAAAAAATTAAAAAAAAATGCTGGTGCTGGGATTTAGAACCAAACCATCTGTTTAGGATAGATGGATTCAAGAAAAAAGAGTATTATAATATTAGAAATACAGAGCTACCTGCCATAAGGATAACTAAAAGGACTGAAAAGGCTCTCATTGGGGTGGGAGACCAGGATGGGGTAGGAAAGTCAGAAAAGTGACTACTTTTTTGTTTTGTTTTTAATTTTTACTTGTTTTCAGTCTCTGAACACTTCAGATTTTCAACTCTGGGCATAAATGACTAATAAAAATAACTATTAAAACTATGTTGATACTACGTTAATTAATATTCCACAAACTATGTAATTCACACCTATGCAAATATTTAAAAGAAAGCAAAGTACTGGCTTTTTCCTTAGTTTCTGTGATCTCCAAATCTAGTTTATACTCCATAAATATCTATTCTGTTTTACATCTTCACGTGAAGATTATTACGTAGAAGCACATTGGGCTACAGGATGCCATAAAAGTGTGTATAAGCTGAGTTTATTGCATTTGTATTTAACGTAGTATACAATTAAAATTTATTGCATTAAAGCTCAAGCAAATGTTTTTTCATGTTTAGACATCACTCTGTTAGAAAGTTCAATTCATTAAGCTCTACATTTCAATATAAACACTTTGTAAAGTGTCAAAACTTATTGTATGTATTGTGTTTAAATATTTATATTTGGCCCTATTCAGCCTTGTCTTGTAAATCACAAAAGAGCAGAGTTTTAATACTTGTTTTTCATTTATTGTTTGTCTGTTAAAAATTGTGAATTATTTTTTGATTGCTAACATTTTTTTCCTTTGGAATTTCTGGCATAACACGTGATTTCCATAAATATATGAAATTACTCTTGAGAATACTTAAGGCAAATACATCCTGCTTATAACTCTGGTACATTAAAATGCTATAGCATTTTAACTGTGCATATTTTCTGCTGATTATTCTCTTAGTTCTTAGTTTAAAAAATAAATAAAACTGATTAAATGTTCACTTAAATGGATTTAAAATAGGTTTGTCCATTTCTGTGACTGGAAAAGAATACTATAATAATAGAAAATTAGTAATTGTGTTTAATTGAATGTTTCAGGTAACTCAGTTATTTTATTTTCATAGTGAATCTTTCTCATTAAGGATGCTCCTGCTGGGATTTACAAGGGACTGCCTCAGAACCGTTACTGATTCTTCCTTCTGATCACTCGATTTTAATGCCACACATGGAGTTTCATCAACATATAGTGCTAAACCTTTTCTGGTGACTTAGAATAAACCAAGAGGGACAAATTAAATCCTTTTCGAAATTTGAGGTCACCAAGTAATGCTACTGGTCATAGAGAAATAGTAGGTATTTTGAAAACGAAATTTGGTTAGATATGAGTAGTAATAAACATTTTTGTAGCTTTTACTATGTGCCAGGAACTTTCTAAGCACCTTACATATATTAATTCATTTAATCATCTTGACTTCCTACCTCTCTTGTATAGTTCATTTGTCAGCAAACTACTACTCTAGATGTCCCTTGAGCTAATAATTTTATATTTTTAATGGATTAATTAAGAAAAAAAAAGGAGCAACATATACTGTAATGTGGTCCACAATAGTGTTTACTGTCTGGGGCTGCACATAAAACTGTCAACTCCTGTTAGGATGCAAATAAACAGAGGACCCTGGATTTTAAGCCTAAATATCTGGTTCCAGAACCTATGTTCTTAACATCTATGAGGTTTGTCAAAAAACTAAAGATTTTCTAAAATGGATTAGATTCAAATGCCTATAAAATAATACTCTTTGAAATCTTTTTTTTCTCCCTTGGTAAGATTGATGCCCTGGCCTTCTGAAGTCCTTTTCCTTCCTTTTCTTTAAATGAGTAGCAACACACTGGACAGATTCTGAAACATCAGACATGTTAATATTTTAAAGATGTATTTATTCATTTGAGAGAGAAAGGGAAAGAGAGAGCATGCACATGAATTGGGGAGGAGAAAAAGGAGAGGGGGAGAGAGTCCTAAATGGACTCCATGCTGAGCGTGGAGGCCAATGCAGGGCTCAGTCTCACCACCCTGAGATCACAACCTGAGCTAACCCAAGAGTCAGACGCTTAAACCACTGAGCCACCCAAGTGCCCCTGGGCATGTTGGTATTTTAAAGTAAAACCACACACACAGGTTATCCCCAAGCATGTGGCTTCAACCTCCAGATTTCCCAGTGACTTTTGCTGATATTTTGACATAAAGGATAACTAATGTTGATGGTCTTAAAATATATATGGTAAAATGTGGAAATATTTATAATTCAATTTGTGGATATGTGGGTTATTTTTTTTTTTTTGAGATTTATTTATTTTTAGAGCATGAGTCAGGCGATAGGCAAAGGGAGAGGTAGGGAAAGAATCTCAAGCAGACTCCCACCAAGCAGGGAGCCCAACATGGTGCTCAGTCCCCACGACCCATGAGATCATGACCTGAGCTGAAGTCAGGAGTTGGACACTTAACTGATTAAGCCACCCAGGCTACCGATGGATATACATTTCAAGTTAAGTGACCACAATTAACAACTATAGCTAAAAATATTTTGTTATAAACTTCATGGTTATGCCTCCATGTGCTAAATTTTCACCATGTGACTGGTAATACGGCATATATTCACAAAGGATGAGGCCCCAAATTAGTTTCTTTCTCTCTCTCTCACACACACACACACATTCTCTCTTCTTTTCTAATCATAGAAAGATTGAGAAATACCCACTTACTATGGAGAGGAAGTCTCAGGCTTGTTCTAGTCTCAAGAAAGAACTGTAGTCTATTTCTTAAGTTTATGCTCATTTCCCATGTAGAAAAGTCCTGTGTTGAGTACTGAGTATTTCTGCTTGTTATATCTCTTTTGGAAAAGCTTATAAATTCTTCCAAGTATTTTATGAAATACCTTAATGTAGTAAACTATTAGTCTTTCTATCAATAGGTCCCTACAGTAAAATAGTATTTAAACAGCAACTATGGTTAGGAACCCTGCAATTATATTTCTTTTTAATGTATCAGCAGAATTACTAGCACTGTAAAGAAGACCTTATTTTAGGCTTAAAGATTATACGGTACTCTGTGTTTAACTTAATTACATTCTTATTTTTATTAAATATTTTTATATATATTTATATGTCTTATGTATTTTACCTCCCAGAAACAAACTGAAAAAAAGTAGCTACATCCTAGGGTGGCTTTATAACAAAATGAAAAACCATAACACTAGAGTGTCTTATTCTAAGGAAACCTTGAGATTATTCAATTAATTGATTTTCATTTCATCTTTTTTTCTTTTAGCCCTACTTCAAATTGTTTTTCAAGAGACCTGAATATCAGTATACATGCATTTACTGAGATAATCCTCTAATCAACTCCAAGCAGAAAAAATGTGTAGTGTATCTACAAGCGTAAACTTTAATTATAAAGGACCCAAATCTCTGATTTCTTACAGAGAATAGTATGAAGTGGGAGGGGGCAGTGGTGCCCTGGATAAAAGTCTGATCTGGGCTAACTTTCAGAAAAATGATTTCAGATTGCTTCCAAATCTGTGTAGACATCAATGGATAGATGGCTTATGGTACAGTTGCTTGCTCCATAAGCTCAGGCCATAGCCTGGAAGCCAGAAAATGAACACATAATGAATTGATAGGTTCTGCATAGTAAGAAGGCTCTTTACAGCCTATATTATATTTTTAAAAATGATTTTGTTTTCCTCAAAATTATTCTAGACTTTTATATTTTTAAAAATGATTTTGTTTTCCTCAAAATTATTCTAGACTTTGGCTCTATTCATTTACTTTAGGGAGGTGTGCATGAGCTTCATTTGGAAGGGCAGCAATTGTGCTTTGAATGTTTGATCTTTAATTGAGGAAGCTCAATAAATCCTTTATTTCATCTTTTTTGCACATCTTGGTCACTCTTGTTTTAAATATCCACTCACCATCCAAGATCCTGTTCTCTGATTTCTATCTTAAATGTTTTCTAAACAGATATATTAGTTTTTAGGGTTCTCTGTGGAAAGTCTTAATATATTCTATTAAACTGAACCATATGACATTGCCATTTTGTAGGCACAGAGCAACTGAATGATAGCACTTTCACATGGTTCAGTTGAGACGACCTGGAAACTTCCAAATGGTATATTTGTTCAGTAAGGGCCAAAGAAATTCACTGGGAATAACTAGGTAGCTAGAACCCAGCCTAGTACAGAAAGAACCCATGGTGAAAAATATCATGACACTTTGTAGTTCCATGTCTAAAACTATGCAAGTAATCTAACAGATTTTTTTAAAGGTTTTTACTTATTTGAGAGAGTGTGGGAGAGAGAGCATGGTTGGGGAGAGGGGCAGAGGGAGAGGAAGAAGTAGACTCCTTGCTGAGCAGAGAGCCCGAAGCAGGGCTCCATCCCAGGACTCTGAGATCATGACCCAACCCTGAGGCAGAAGTGTAACTGAGCCCCCCGGGCATCACAACCTGACAGATTTCTTAACTTTTTTAAGGTATTGTTTCAGACGTGTTTTAGACATTTAGACATTTCAGATTCTCTCAGGCTCACTCTCTTGTTCCTGCCTCTGCTTACAGGTTTCAGTCATCATATGTAGGTACAATTTGACAGTGCCCCACATCCCTCATTTCCTGTGTCAGAGCTTCCTATTTTTGCGCCCATTCCCTCGCCACTACCATTCCAAAACATACATAACCCAGCAGGGAAACCACTGGCCTCTTTCCATATTCCCTGTTCATCACGGACAGTCTTGTGACACTCTGTACAGCTTCTGGGATGATTGCTCCAAATCTAATAATTAGTCACATTTAGTGGTCGGCTCACTAACACCTCAGATTGCTTCTCCTTACCTGCTTCATTATTCTTTTCCCATAACTTTACTCCCCAATAAAGTAATAGCACACCATTCCTCTGCCTCGACAATTCTTTGGGAGGAACCCAGACTATGTCCAATACTGTTCTCAAATTTTGATCAGAGTCACCTTTGGTAAAATACATGGACTGAAGTTTGAGAAGCACTACACTTTTAAAATAGACTTTATTTTTAGAGTGGATTTAAGTTTACAGCAAATGGAGTAGAAAATCAGAGATTTCTCACCTACTCCCACCTCCACATAGTCTCCCCCACAGCCCTAGGCTTTGAAGAACGTAAAAGCCAATGTCAAATAAGCATAGTGATAGGGGATTAAAAGCAACCTTGGAAGGGAATGCCTGGGGTAGCTCAATCAACTGAGCGTCCAACTCTTGATTTTAGATTAGGTCATGATCCTCGGGGTCATGAGATCATCCCGCCTCAGTGAGGAGTCTCCTTGAGATTATCTCTTCCTCCCTCTCTGCCCCTATGCCTGCTGACAAGTGCATGCGTTCTCTCTCTCTCTCTCTCTCTCTCTCTCTCTCTCTCTCTCTCTCTCTGTCTCTCTCTCTCTCAAATGAATAAATCTTAAAAAAAATAAAGCTACCTTGGAAGTTCTACTTCTGGGTAAGTTGAAGTAAGCATACTCCACCCTATCCCCCCTCTGAATACAATGGTAAAACCTGCATAGACCAGCTATTTGAATGCATGGACAGCTACTTGAGGACTGAGAAGTAAATAGGAAGATTGAAGAAGACCAGTATTGTGCCACCAGCCAGCAGTGACTGTTCCTTTTTTTTTTTTTCTAAGGTGTCCCCACTACCTGGGCTTAAAGCTGCTTAAAACCCAGAATTGAGCATCTGTTCAGACAGAGCTCCAGGAGAAATTCCAGCTCAAAGAGTGGGAAGGAGTTTGCTAATGATCAGCAAAACAGAAGGAAATACTGCATTCTTTTCTATACTTTGTTGTGCATGAACCCTTAACCAATCTCAAGTATTCAACAGCAACAACGATAGCAACAGTGGCAGTGGGGAACTCAGCCAAAAATCTGAAGAAGGGGACCCGCCTTCTACAGAATCCTCATGGTCCCAAAAAGTTGTGGTAAATGCTCATTCCTTTTGTTCTATTTTCCCACCCCTTGGCCCCAGGCAAGGGCACACTCAAAGGAAAAGTATGACAGAGTAGAGTACATAAAGCATCAGCTTTCTAGCTGGCAGATCAAAAAAGGGAGCCCCAGAGAACTGGAAAGTACAAGGGAGATTGGGAAAGGTAGGAGATGGGCAACACAACTCCATAAAGTTGTTTGTGGACTCTCAGCCTTAACCTCAGTGTGGATGGTGGGTCTGAGTGTGGGTCTGAGGATAAATAATGTGTAGACTTTGAGAACCAAACTATAGGATAGACTATGACCCAAATTCTAGATTGGCCACTGGGTATCATATACTTGGACTACACCTGAATAAAAACCACAAAAGTTTTTGAAAACAGAAATAACTAATTGATTGCTATGAGGCTGGTTAAGACTTTTGGCC